AAATTATTATTATTATTAAATTATAAATCGAAGCGTCCAAAACTGTAGGAGTACCAACTTTGAAGTATAAAAATTCCCATTTTAATTATGCACCTGTCAAAAAAAAATAATGTTATAATCTAATGTAAATTAGAATTATATTTATAAGTATTCTAAGCATCTTTTGTATAGCTCTAAATTTTTAAGATTATCACAAAATAAATAACAATAGATAAGAAAGAAAAATATATTACATTGCTTTTCTATGACTACTGGTCAAGTTTTAATAGTGTTTAGGTATAGTTTATACTTAATTTTAGAATGATTACCCTATTACTCTATAGACCTATAACCAAATTCAGAAGTAAGAATATGATCGACCGACGGATAGATTATGGATAGATAATGTAATTTGTCCAGAAGCATGGTAGAAATTCATAAATTCCAAATTCGTACTGGAACTGTTTACGAAGCCTGATGGTTGGTATTAATTTGTATTTTTTTTTATTTGAGGTTAGAGTTCGGAACCCTAATTTTGGTTATCAGCTACAATTTCTTATCACGGGGACGAATTCTGATACCGAGGCCGAACTGACCCCATACCCTGTATAACAGTCTTGTAAATAATAATTGTAAAAATCTATCTATTCATAATACTTATTCAAATTAAGTTTAAACCAATATATTTTCGAATATTCTTTTTGTCAACTAATTACAACTAATAATACAACAAATAACCTATGCCAGTTTCAGAAAAACGGCTCAATAGTTGTATATAAACTTACGTTTTTATTTTAAACTGATTCCTGACTAGTGTAAATAGGTAGTTCTACCTAAATAGACAATTCATTAACTTCGATTAAAAATAAAACTAAATATTATATTTATAATATGTGGCCGTTAAAATCTACGTTTTAAGATTTAGATTACAAATTTAAAATTATTTTTGTTTACACACCAGAAGAGTTCGTTAAGTGAATAAAATATGACAAACAAAAAAAAAAAAATTTAAACCGTATTCAAATCTTTTTTCAGAAAAGTATTCAAATACAAAAGAAGTATTAATATAATTTTTCCTGAATACATCTATTCGAATACTTAACAACATTACTGTATAATAATAATAATAATACATTACAGTGGTTTTCAAAATTTTATTAAACACGGCACACTGTGCTCTTCAAAAAATGTTCACGGCACACTGTAACCTTTTTTTTCTTTTTTTTTTTTGATATTTCACCACGTACGAGAGGTTCATCCCCATGTCGCCAACTCCAATTTTGCCGACATCCTACTGCGCCGACTCCCATTTTGTCCCATTTTTCAATTACTTAGTTCCCTGGAAGATGCGGAACTAATACAAATTGATTTAAATATTATTTATGGTTGGTGCAATTCTAACGGAATGACCCTTAACGTTAATAAATGTAACACTATATCTTTCTTCAAAAAAAACGAAATCTAATAACATTTAATTATAATTTAGATTATTGTAATTTATATCAAGCTCTTCAGATAAAAGACCTTGATATCATTTTTGATTCTAAACCTTTATTTAATTTACATTTATTAGCAATTACCAAAATATCTCTATTAGTTTTTGGTACAATTAAACGGAACTGTTTTCAGTTCAATAATCCTATCATATTCAAATGTCTCTATTCCTCTCTTTTTAGACCACATGTGGAGTACGCTAGTCTAATTTGGCCAGTTTGGGAATTCAATACTCTAAGCCATAGACACCAAATTGAAACAATTCAAAGTAAAGTTCTTCGCTATATAACTTATAAATGCAATATTACCAGACAACCGCATTCTGGGTATGAGAGAATTCTTCAATTGTTAATTGTGAAAACCTTGAAAAATAGAAGATTTAATTATTGCGCCATGTTCCTGGAAAAACTTTTAAATAATAAGATTGATGATTCCTTCCTTTTAATTCTAATAAACTTTAAAACAACCAGTTACAGTATACGGCACAAAAACCTCTTTTATATCTCACAATGTTCTAAACTATATTTAGTATTGATTCCTATTAATTTAATACAATCTGCCGGTAATACGTTCTGTAATGATAAATTATTTACATGTAGCTAAGATAATGTTATGTTTTCCTAATTAACAATGTTAATTGTAAATGTGAATTTTAAAGTGATTTGAATGTAATTTGTTCGTATTATTTTTAGTTATGACCTAATCAACAGGTACTACCAAAGTGTTCAATATTATATGATTTGTCAATGAATTTGGACTCATGTCCGTTAATAAATAAATAAATAAATACAAATTAGTTTGTATTATTACTCGTAATGTTGTGCGAATTGTTCGCAAGTACGTTTCGACGCAAAAGTATATTAAATGACCAGTGGTGTTAGTTGTATGCTTTTTTTTATTTCGCGTTCGATGTTTTGGACGGGTAGTGATAGGCGCAGTTTTTCGTCAAGACTGCAAGCGTTTCGCGTAGGAGCTTTTTGTAATATATGTGATTTTCGGACAATAAACGATGGCGACGGCCCCTGAAATGATATGTACGCCACGCCATTCCAGGGCCATGGTCGATTTAAAGGTGTAAAAAAAAAAATCGTGCGGATAAAAATATTATTGTCAACGTACAATGTCGGTGCGTAATGTTCCTAATATGGAACAGATAAAATTCTATCGCTTTCAACATATCTATCAATCTCGGTATAATATGATTGTACAATCCGTTTGTATTTTCGCCCGGTAAATTGTCTTGATTATATAATGCCATTAAAAAAAATATATATATAAATAAAACGGTGAAAATTTGAAATTGGCGAATATTTTGTTCCGGAACTGTTTCCTGTAGTAACCAAATTTGGTGTTTAATAATGTTTTTGTTAATGGTTAACACAAATTTGGTTTTTTTGAACTACACGCCAAAAACCATATCGACAAACTATATAGGCTGATATAAAGAATAATTATAATTGTTCCTTAGATTTAATATTATTTAGTGAAGGTTTAAAATAAGCTATTCTGAATACATTAAGGGGATTACTACCTTTGTCTATATAGTAAAGGAAAATAACGTGCCATAATTGATTATACACTTATAGAGGCATATGATTATTTTTAAATACTCGTCTAATGTTTTAGACTATTATTTAAACGTTCGTAAGTAGACTATAATATTATTTCTATGGTTTAGTATAATATTTTTTATGCAGATTTCATATTTGAAAACAAAATATGAAATATTGCGGTGTAGTTTTTGATGATAAAAAGAGACAATGACGTAAGAGGTACTCTGGTACTCTCGTGAGATAACAAAATTAGCGTACAAACGTAACAAATTCGATCAAATGGAGGATGCTGAATAGTGGTATAGCAGATATAGAATATGTGACCAACAGGTTAACGACCAAGGGAAAGACCCGTAACGAGTTGATTGTATGGAATTTAAGAGGACCCGGAGAAAATAGGGAATATTGTTTGGTCAGAATTTATTATACAAATGGAAGACAGATGTAATGGAGTTGTATTGACAGCTTAAAGCGGCTCTTTAAGAGAAGACCTTCTTCTTTTTTTTTTTGATGAAGTTAAATGAGCTAGAGTGATTTTTAAATTTGTTTCAATAAGATCATAATCATAATAATTATATACCGGCCATTACATCGCAGTGTTAGCTTAATTGTATACATAGGCATAAGTGAGAATATATACGATCATTTTTGAAAGAGTTAAAATTATAGACGACTGCAATGTCATAAAAATCTCTTTTAAACGACATTTATATTATGCAACTACATATTTCATTTACAATTTGTTTTTTTTTCTAAAATGTATCATAATTTTTAGATTCGGAGCATAGCGAAGGTTTTACTATGATGTGTGCGTCCTTTTTTTTTTTATTTGTCAGAAAACTTATATTTGCTTTTTATAGACTCGGTAAAAGTTAGAAAAAAAATATTTGAGCCATTTTTGAGCTATTTATTGACGTCATAATTATTATTACTTTAATGAAGTGGGAATAACCGCCCTGAATTTTCCAAAGATGAATTTAATAGCGAAATTTTGACTGAATTTTCAATACAACATGGTGATATAAGTTTGGGAATTTAAATTAAAAATTTAAAAATATTATAGCACAATGTTACTCTGTGAATCAAATCGTTAGAATAAACAGAAATGTTTAGACATTTAACGGGGTGTTCATTATATATAATTTGTACTTAGTGGTCGAAAAAATAAAAATCAAGTGAATTGTAGTATTATTATTATTTTTTTTATATGTATAAGAGTTCCAATGTCAAATTTTGACGAAAATCTTAAAAATGACGGCCACAAAAAACTTCGCTCCCAATCGTTGCTTACAAAAATAAATTAAATGATATTATGCATGCTAACTTCCCGGCTTTCGTCTACTTTCAACCTACAACAGTGCAACAGTGTTAGACCTGTCCGCAGTATTAAATTTTTTTTATAATTTTATTTGTATACGCACACGTATTGTCTGTGTGTAATCCGCATTTTGTTCTGCTTATTAATTATGAAATACACGAAAAAATCATTTAGTTGATATTATAAAAAAGCTTGTTGGGCATTTTCGTTGGTGCTGAATACTCTCGAGCACCCCCTCCTCTTAGTTGCGTCTACGGGTACAAGTACAAACCGACAGATGCTATTCGGGTCGAAATTTTAAAATTTCCTGACCCACTGGACTCGGGAAGGTATAGTAAAAAAAAAAATAAAAAAAATAAAAACCATATATATATATTTAAATACGAAAATAATAAAATAAAATTAGGTAGGTAGGTCCTGCCTAATTTATTCTGATTTATAATTTATTTTATATAGAACTATATTTGCATTTCCGACGGAAATAAAATGGGAAATAACGAACTACCGGCTATCGATTTTCATTGTAAATGACGTTATTTCGCCGTAGAAATACTTTATTAATTTTAGAAAGAGAGAGAGAGAGAGAGAGAGAGAGAGAGAGAGAGAGTGAGAGAGAAAGAGAAAGAAAAAGAACGGATCGATTTTATTTATTCTTGAAAATCGAGAGTTGGGTGCCCTCCCTCAAACTGTACGATGTACGCGTATATCATATACAGTGTTCAAACTTTATATATATAAACTGTCCTTGATTTTTTTTTTTTTTTTTTTAAAACAACATTCGCACTAATTGCACGGCAGTTAGTTATAGTTCGTTGAATATATTGTTTGGCCTGACGTTTCGACCGTAACGGTTTTATTCGACCGTCTTAAATAAAATACCTACCTACCTACCTACCCTACTGCAAATGTTTGTGAAATATATATATTTTTCAACAATTCGTGCAGTAATCGGTACACGTATATACAACTTGGTAAATACCTTTTATAGACCAAAACCAATAGGCGTGCCATTTATATTACGAGTGATATTTCGTGGCTTGGCCCTGGCAGACCAGTGTAATTGCACCGCGCCGGCATCATACAGAATCGTTTGGAGTTTTAAAAATGTTTCGCGCGCGGTATCCCGGCCAAAACGGCGAGGCGCATAAAAATGACGAATATCGTTTGCCGCGGACGAATAACAAAAAAGTTCGTGTAACAGTACGTTGGTGTTACAATATAGGTATCGCAATTATCTTTATTGTTAAAAAATATTTAAAACATTTATTGCGAATGTACCTCGTGTTTTAATATTTTTTATTTTTCTAGCCGACTGATTTTTGCGTCCTGTAAATTGTGCAATATTTTGCAATCCCTCAAAAAACTGCCGGTGTTTCGGAATATTTCACTTTTTTTATTCATTCACTTCATTTGCCTAATTGATTTGGATTTCGCTCGTTTAACTTCGCCGTTATTTCGGCCTGGATCCGTTTTCGTTCTGTAGACATAATACACATAGTAGCATACGAAACTACTAAATATTTTCGAACTTATGACAGAGCTCCGCCGTAAGAGGTAAGCAGTCTGTAAGCGGCCGCTGTAAGATCGAAAATCGCGTTATTGATAAATTCACGAAATAATATTGAGCTTACACCTAGCATGTATTGCATTAAATGCAATTATACGATACTATACGGAAAAAACAATTTGCGATTAATTTCAAACGTTTTTCCTACTATCGTGTAGAATATATGCGTATTTATCGTATATAATTCATGTCACAAACAAAAGTATTTTACGGGTTAATCAATAAAATTTGACCTCTTGGTACACCGGCGGCCGAGCTTCGGATTTACTACTCGTGTAGGCGGCCGTATATCTCCAATCGTTTTATGAATCTGCGTGTTTCGCCGACGTTTAAACAGATTCGCGTTTCCCGAAAATTACGTACAAGCGAGTGACAAAACCGCGGTTGGGCGTAGCGGACGTATCGCGGAACTAAATTTCCGAAATATTGCAGTTATTTTTTTTTTACACGCGGACAATTTTGTAAGTGCCTATATTTCACGAGACGGTTTTGAATTGTGTCGACTTCAGCGGGCGGACAAGAGTGACCGGGTTCTACTCGAATAATTTACGGATAACGGTAAATCGCAATTGAATCAATCATTTCGAAAAGGCGATTTCTCCATACTTTTTTATAACTAGTTTTACGTGATAGATACGTTTAACTTATAATAACGCTTTTTTCCTGCGAGACAGCCATGTCTCCGACATTTCGTTATGGTCCAAATTTAATGGACGCACTCGAAAAGGCCATTTCTCCAAAACATCTTTATCAGTAATATTATTCGTTAAGATTGTATTATCAACCGGTTTATTGTCCAGCTGTTGGTGATAACAGCTAATTATTAACTGTTATCAAATTACAATTCATAATTTGATCGTAACACCAAGTTTTGTTATATTTTTCAGTTAAACAGTTTTTACGTTTCCTAAACATTTTCATTTTATGGAGAAATGGCCTTTTCGAAATGACCGACACAATTATGACAACGTGTACAAATCGAACGCCACAATTAATAAATCTAAAGTTACAGTAAAAACAACACATAGAAAACTTCAAATTGGTTCGACGAAATACGTCTCTGCCGGGCGGAAAAAAAAAACATCATCATAACGCATCGTCGCTATCCGCGGAGTTATTGATGGCTATAACCTATAAGGTTTTTACGGAATGAAAATGTGAATATGAAATTTTCATTTTAGAAATTTCTCACCGTCGTCGGACGTGATTTATTTAAAAAACGTCAAAAAAAAAGAAAAGAAAACTCCATTTTGAAGAGTCTGTTGGTATACGCGCTGCGCGGTTCATCCGGTCGCGTTGTGTCATTATTACGAAACCGAGGTTTTTTTTTTTTTTTTTCGACAATTTTCTATTACCGCGTGTAGGTATAGGATGGCTTTATTCGCCCAAACTGTATAGGCATCCGCACTTCTTTTTTTGCTTTTTTTTACCGACGCAACTCTGACGACAATATAATATTCTATTTTATCGCAGCGCCGGAGTAAAAAATACTTTGTGAAAAATACACGTTTGTCACACGACGGCGTCACATATACGCGGGTACCGCAACGATTGCCGCGTTAGACGAACGAGCTCAGCGATCCATATCGTTAAACTTCTAACGGCTTTAACTTTTTATATTCAATAGAACGCGGTCTGCGCTTACTTTTATTATTATTATTATTTCAGTATACCTATCGGAATCGGCGGAAAAATCACCTCGGTTACAAAAAAAAAAAAAAATGTACCCTCGATAAAAAAAAGTTTGGCATAAAAGATTCGTATCTAAAAGATGATTATAGCCGTTGAAATTTAAACGGCTGTCGGATGAAGATTGCGATAAATATATTCGTCGGATTGAACACTTTTTTTTTTTTTTACGAGTTTAAACATAATAAAATTATCGATTGTCATTAATTGAGGTTTGCGGAATGTAAACGGTCATATTTAAGCTAAGGCCGACGTTATTCAAAATTAAAAACGCGACCTGCATAAATCTGATAACTACGATGACAAAAACTTATTAGATTTCAGCAAAGATGCTATTAGTTTTGTTAAGATGTGTGTTTTTTTCGCGCATGACTCTTTTTCGGTTGGTAAAAAATATGCTCTATTTTTTTTCACACCGTTTTAAAAGACGAAAAGTCTCGGCGGTTAGGTCAGGTTAGGCTTACTTGAAATATATTTCGATACTCCTAACGGTTCATTTCTTATATTTGTGTTTCTCGGCACTTTCCAGTTTTCCAGTTAGTAAAAATGCTTCGAACAGTACAAATCGTGTACCCTTAAAGACGCTGGATTTTAAGAATCGAGAAGAATTATAAAAAAAACTGAAAGTAATTGATTATGTTTTTGTCGATTTCGACGAGTGCAATAGTACAGTATTTCAGTTACTATAGTTAGTATAGAATTTTTTTTTTTTTCATTTGATTTCGTAAATGTCTTATATTATTATTAATTATCGTTTATCCGCAACAATTCAATAGGTTAGGTTGGATACGCTACCAATGGGCGGGTTCCGTTTCGTCTAAATTCGACATTTTCCGTTTCACCCAAATACCCGTTTTTTTTTTTTTCATAACGCGTTTTAGTCATTTTAAAATCGAGTTGGCAACAGAGTTTGAATAACAGTTAAAACACAAAGACAATTATTTAAAAATGTGTGTCACTAATTATCGTTTTATTGTTTTATACAAATTTGTAGCGTTAAAATTCTCAGAAAAAAAAAAAAAAAAACAAAGGAAAGGAAAGGAAAGGAAAGACGGTAATACAATGAAAACCGTATACTTTTATAGTGATACAGATGCATTGAGTTTGTAAAACGCACGTGTGGAAATTTAAAAAAAAATAACGATTGGTATTTTGTGACGATTTTTCTAAATAATTTTCTACGCGTTCCAACTCGGTTTACAATAACTCGAATGCGTTTTAGGCAGAGGTCGAGTTCGGGGTCGCGCACTTTCCAATAATCTACTGTTAATTGTAAATTTATAATATACAAACCGTATCTTCCCGTACGCGTTCCTACAATGTTCGGAAATTATCGGATTTTTTTATAATAAAATTCATTTTTTCTCTCGCGAAACAGTCGTGTTTAGAAAAGCCGGTTGACACCGCCAAACGATTGGCGCGGTCGAGCAATTAAAAAATTGTAAAATTATATTTCTCAAAGAAACTCGCTCGGGCTTTCTAGAACATTCGCGTGCGTCGGGGCGTGGACGTTTCAACAGTTATTGTTTCGACGCGGGCACATTCAAATAACGAAATCCAACCGGACGATCGGAGCATTGGTTCACGATTCGCTCGTTAAGTGCGCGCGTATACTAAACGTTAACGTTAACGCGGCGCGCGCGGAAATCGAATAATTCGGCCAGACACGAGCGCGGATGCGACTCCGAAGGAAAACATCGCCCGCAGTATTATTCGGCGCGTCAGCGCGATTTCTCTACGTCCCGTTTTCTCGATGCGCGATTTAGGTACCCGCGAAGTTCGGGAACGTTCTTATCGGGCGCCGGCGGGTAAATGCTGTTGACCAACATAATCATTGCCGTTTTCGTCCGCGAGCCCGTAATCTATCGCGAACCCATACTTGGCCCCCTATTGCCCTGGATGTACGGGGTACAAACGTGACTAATAGACTACGCATAATGTATTTTTCTTTGTCCGTGAATTATTTACCGACTTACTTCCAGTCCGCGTACACAATCAACGTTAGCGCGCGTACAAACTCTGTTTGTCTAGGTACTTCGGAACGAGTATAAAAACATAAAAAAAAAAAAACAAACACGGGAGGTTTTAAACTGTACTCACTAATTACAAACTGTTTTTTTTTTTTTAAATTATTTCCTTTTCGGTACTGACAAAAACAGAAAGAATAATCGTAGTAAGTTTGGTTCGAATTTAAAAATACATTTACCAACAGTATCATCTCGCAGACGTTTATTTTTTTCCATGTGGCGTAGTGAAATTCGTATTTTTTTTTTTTTTTTTTTTTTTTT